CACATCTAACTCCAAAGGCCTTTGTCCTTTCCTCTACCCCCTGCTATCCACACTTAAACCCAGGAGAGTCCCCACTCTCAGTGCCACATCTCCTCAGCTATAGGACAGGGGTTCATTGTCCTTAAGTAGGTTGTTGAGAAGAATAAAGGAGTCAATGGCAGAAAAGTCCTCAGAGCAAGACCTGGCATGTATTTGAAGGGTTTCCTTTAAAATATGAGCTGTTGCTAGCCTCAGCAACAGCGAGTCACTAAGCAACTCAGTGAGACCCTGTCTCTAAATAAAATACAAAATAGGGCTGGGGATGTGGTTTAGTCGTTGAATGCTCCTGAATTCAATCCCCAGTACCAAAAGCAACAACAACAACAAAAACAACTCGTGATCATTTTCATTTTGTTACTGGGCACAGAACCCGGACAGGTCAGGGGACACCAGTGTCAAAAAGGACCTTTTAGTGTTTTGTTCTCCCCACAGAAAGACACAGGCTCTTACCCAGTATATACTACTTATTTTTTTTTATGTAACAGCTTTTTTATTATTATACCAGGGATTGAACCCAGGGGCACTGAACCACATCACGAGCCCTGTTTGTATTGTATTTAGAGACAGGGTCTCACTGAGTTGCTTAGAGCCTCGCTTTTTGCTGAGGCTGGCTTTGAACTCACAATCCTCCTGCCTCAGCCTCCCAAGACCTGGGATTACAGGCTTGTGCCACTGTGCCTGGCTGAATTGTCAGTTTTAATAGTAAGATTAATGTATTCTAGATACAATTCCTTTATCAGATATATGATTCACAAGCATATTCTCCCATTCTGTGATGTCTTTCACTTTCTAGTTAGTGATATCCATGGAAGTACAAGTTTTAAAATTTGATCTATCACTAAAGCAAATCTCTCTGTTTCTCTGAGGATTCTTTATCTGTAAAGCAAGCAGCATCAGCATGGTACCTTGCAGGTATGGAATAAAATTGTAATACATGAGGCAGATAACATTCAGATTACAGGTCTGGTCTGGCCGGCTGGAACCTGTTCCCTGCTGAGCCCCTTGAAGGAGGACGGAGGTAGTATGTCTCAGCTTGGGGGTCCCAGGGGATTCCCCAGGCCTTCCATGCCGCTCTCCTTCTTACTTTCACTGTGGTCTCTATCTGAATTGCTCCTTGGGAGCACAGACTTATTGGCTGTACCCACTGCTGTAGCCTCATTGCCTGGCACAGTGCCAGATCCATAGACAGCACCCATACACTACATGCTGAATGGGGCTGAGCCTGTAGCTCCGTGTTGGGCATCTTCCTAGTGTGCCTGGGGGCCCTGCATTTCAGCCCAGCAACATATAAACACGGAATGAATGAAAAGTAGGTGGAATTTCTCACTCATGGTCACACAAAGAATGCGAAAGCTGGGACTTCCAGCTCCCTGGCCAGGATACACTTCCCTAATGTCTTACTCAGTGATGCTAGGTGAACTTTCTATTTAGTGACTAATGGCTTTTTTTTTTTAAAAAAGGTTAGCTTTGGTTAAAATGGTAAGCAGATCATTCGGATACATATTTTAGGCCCCAGATGGATACTTTTGCTCTGCCAGCAAGTGTCCAACAACTCCAGCTCAGCCTTCTGGAATCCAGACTCCACTTGGGCACCACCTCCTCCAGGAAGCTCTCCCTTACCCTCTTCCCTGGTCGCCCAGGCCTGTTGAAGGTCTGTTTATGGGCTCCCACTACACCCCTCACTTAACACATTACTGAAATTATCTTCCTCACTAAACTTAAACTGCTTAGTAACACGGGCTGAGTGTCTGTTTTCTCTGGTCCCCTCTCCCCTGTGGCCATACATGTCACTCTGGAGTGGCATGAATGTACTCTGAACCCAAAAGAATAATTATGTGAGCCTCGAGTCTGATTTCATCCACGTGCAACGCTAATGACAAGCAAAAATTTGATCATACTCAGTTTCTTCTGGGGGCTTCAACTGAGATGACTTGTTTTACATATTTTAGGCTAAGAAACACTACAGAGATGAAGAAGGTGAACCTAGAGCCAGACCATCTTGGGTCTGAATCTAGATTGCCACATTCCAAGTTGGGTGGGCAATTTACAGAACCACTCTGTGCCTTGGTTTCCTCATCTGGACTTTGAAATTTTTTATTTATTTATTTATTTTTTGTAGCTGCAGATGGACAGCATGCCTTTATTTTATTTTTTAATTTTTATGTGGTGCTGAGGATTGAACCCAGTGCCTCGTACATGCAAGGCAAGCACTCTGCCACTGAGCTACAGCCCCAGCCCTGGACTTTGAAATGTTAATAGTGTTTACATTGTGGTGGGCTGGGGTTTGTAGCTCAGTGGTAGGGTGCTTGTCTTGCATGTCTGAAGCACTGGGTTAGATCCTCAGCACCACATTAAAAAAATAAATAAAAATAAAGAATTGTGTCCTTCTACAGCTAAAAAAAAATAATAGTACTTACGTTGTGGTATTATCATGAGGATGAGATGAAGTACTACATGTTAAGTGTTTAGGTCAGAGCCTAACAATAATCACCAAACAGATATGAACAAATGTGATTAAAATCTCCTTTTCAAAACAGTTAATAAGTGGATCAATTCAAGGAAAATGATAGTACAAAGTAAAAGTGTCTCAATCATGGAAATTCCTGGGGCCCAAAGGGGTGGGGTCTGTGATCTTAGTGATTTATTGGAACCAGTGACAGGTGGGCTCCGTCCCACTCTCCACCAGCACCCATGTGGCCTTTGGCACGCTGTTTTAGCTCTATGTGTCTCCCCTTCCCAGAAAAGCCATGTCACCAAAATCCAGTCTGCTCATCTACCAGCTAGATGACAATTGGCAGGTTGCCCACCGTTTTAAGTTGTAGTTTTACTTCTGGCCTTGACTTTGACACTTTTTAAGTTAACAAGCTTTCCTAGTCTGCCACCCTTCCTTCTCTTCTCCTGTCCTGGTCCCAGCACCTCCCACTGCCTGTACCACCACCTCCACTTCTGCCTTTTCCTCCAACTCTGCCCCTCCTTAAAAAACACAGACAGGGACTAGAGATATAGCTCAGTGTTATAGTGTTTGCTTAGCAGGCCCTGGGTTTGATCCCCAGTTCTGGAAAAAAAAAAAAAAACCTCACAAATAGAGTCCCCTAATTCTTTTATGGGGTTTTCTGGGGCCATTACTGTGTTCATAATACTGCTAAGATATTATGTGCCTTTTTTTCCAAAATATAGAGTGCCTCCCAGAGGTTTCATGATGTGTGATACTGTAGCAGATGGCTTGCAGAAGTAGAGAATCGCTTGTCTTCTATTAAGCCAGACATTAAAGAGATTTGTAAACATGTGTAATAGCAACTCTTATTTTTTTTTGGAAAATATAGTTATTCGTCATCTAATATAATAATTTTGTTAACATGTAATGATGTAATGTGATTTCTGTTAATTTAAGTGGATATATATATATATATATATATATATATATATATACACATTTATGTATGGGCTGGGAATTGAACCCAGGACCTCACACACACTAAACATACATTCTACCATTTAGCTATACCCCCAAGCCATATATATATATATATATATATATATATATATATATATATATATGCCAGGGATTGAACTTGGATACTTGGCCACTGAGCCACATCCCCAGACCTATTTTGTATTTTATTCAGAGACAACATCTCATTGAGTTGCTTAGCACCTCACTTTTGCTAAGGTTGGCTTTGAACTCACGATCCTCCTGCCTCAGCCTCCTGAGCTACTGGGATTATAAGCGTTCACCACTACACCTGACTGAATAAAAATATTTTAAATATGCAAAAAGCAAGCTGTCCCTTTAAACTAGTAATAAATATAGAAGATATTGGGCTCTTAGATATTTGGGTTCCACCTCTCCTAGGCAGTAAAGGGACTGTAGCAAATCATCCCAGGACAGATTTGAAGTATTTATCTGATATCCAAGAAGACATTCCAATCTTGTAACAGCTGCCAACTATTGAGGAAGAAACACGCCATTTTACAATGCCTCAACTGCCCGAGAGCATACCTGAAACCCGCCTGATAATTCCTATGCTAGTAGCAGCACAGGGGTCTTGCATGACAAGAGTAGGGGATGATTAATGACCAAGGCACCAAGATATTCTCAAATTCCTTAAGCATGGTGGTATCACAGGTTATGAGAACTGAACTGATCATTAAAAAAAAAAAGTGGGCAAAGGGCATAGACATTTTACAGAAAGGAAACACAAAAATATTTTAGATATATGAAAGATGAATTTCATGCATAAGTAATGAGAACACAACTCAAATGAGATACCATGATTCATCTGTTAGTTAGGCAAAGATTTAAAAATTGGAGGGGCTGGCGTTGTGGCTCAGTCGTAGTGCGCTCGCCTAGCAAGCGCAAGGCCCTAGGTTTGATCCTCAGCACCACATACAAACAAATAAAGGTGTTGTGTCCAACTACAACTAAAAAAATAAATAAAAATTGGATATGGGCTGGGGATGTAGCCTAGTGGTTGAGAAAGTGTTTTGCATGTATGAGGCCCTGGGTTCTATTTCCAGCACTGCAAAAAAAAAATTTTTTTAATTAAAAATTCATAAAGGGCTGGGATTGTGACTCAGTGACAGAGTGCTTACCTCGCATATGTGAGGCGTTGTTTTCGATCCTCAGCACTACATAAAAATAAACAAAGATATTGTGCCCATGTATAACTAAAAAATATTTTAAAAATACATAAAATTAAAAACAAAAATTTGATAACATACTCTATTAGTGAGCATAGAAAAAGAGACACCCTCATGCAGTGATGGATGAACATAAGTGTTGTAATCAGGGTGGAGGGTACTGGCTGATATCTATCTAAAGTACAAAATCTTATGCTCAACCTAATTCCATTTCCAGGGACTTCAACTAGAGCTAGAGATGCACAGACTAAATAGATGAACAAGTATTTTTGTTTTTAAACTCCTCTTTTTTTTTTAAATACAATATCTTTATCTATTTTTATGTGGTGCTGAGGATCGAACCCAGTGCCTCATGCATGTGTGGCAAGCACTCTAACACTGAGCTACATAAATCCTCTTCCCTGAGGATTTTTCTTTGTGGTGCTAGGGAATCAAACCTGAGACCTCAAGCATGTAAGGTAAGCACTCCACCACTGAGCTACATCCCTATCCCCAAACAAGGAATTTTTTAGAGCAACATTTTTGTTTGAGATTATCTGATACAAGGGACTGGTTAAATGAGATATACACACACACTGGAATACTGTAGAGCTGTCAAAAGAATGATTGTATAGTTGGATGTATATTAAATTCACGTATAAATGAGTTTGAGGTATATGCAGTAATTAAAAAAAAAGGAAGGACAAAACAGAGGTCTAGGCTGAGATCATTGGTGTAGTTATAAATTGCAAAGATGTGTACAAATAAGCTCATATATGCACAGGCTATCTCTGAAATAGTTCATATGTGATCTAAAGGCCTTACCACTTCTAATTTGCCCAATGACACCTTGTCATGACCCTTGGACTTGTCTCTACCCCTCACTCTGCAGCCCCTGACCACCTTGCTGTGGCCAGAATACCCTAGGCATGGCCTATTTTGGCTCTGCCACGGCTGTTAGGAAAGTTCTCCTCCTGAATGTCCACAGGGCTCACTTTTCACCTCTTTCAAGATTTTGCTCAAGTCTTACCTTCCCAGTGAGGCCTGTACCTGGCCACTGTAATTAAAACTAGCCCACCATCCTCTAGAATTCCTCTTACCCTACTCTTCTCTTCTCCAGAATGCTCATCACCTTCAAATGTTCAGTTATTCAATGTGCTTAAGTGCCATGTTTATGGCTTATTGTCTGTTTTCTCCTAATTGGATATAAACTCTACAAAGGTTGTAATGGTCTGTGTTTTGTTCACTGATGTAGACCAAGCATTTAACACCTAATTGATGCTCAGTAAATATGAGAAACTGGTAACAGTTGTTATACCAGAGAGGAAAGCAGGGATCCAAAGGAGCCATGGGAGTGAGATTTACGTTTCAGTACACACCCTGATATACTTTGTACCAGATGCTTGTATTAGCTGGTAAAAATTTAATTAAAACTTTGAGCCCTACCAATAAAATGCAAAAACTGGAAGGGGTAACCTGAACTTAACTCCTTCATTTGACATGATGATCCAAGGGCAGAGAAGTCAGGTAACTTGCCTAAGATCACATGCCAGAATTTAAATCCATATCTGACTCCTGAGCCCTAGTTCTTACCTGTTACGCCATTAATTAGGGCTCTGATCATCCAATTTATTTCTGAGATAGAAATGTTAAAGGACAAGAATGTTCCAAAGATTATGGTTTGTCTGTCTGATGTTTTGTAAGGGACAGTCTCAGTTTTTTTGATAAGAGATTTTGATTATATTCTACCAAGCTGTTGACATAAATGGGAATACTGGACTTGGGAATTCTTTTGTGAGAACTTCACTTTCAAAGACTAAATCTCAGTCCTTTGTAGTTCGAAGTGCAATGCTCCTGAGACCTGCACCCCCAGCTAGAGATACCCATACTTCTTCTTCCAAAGCCATCAAGAGGTCTGGATGAGTTGTTGAGTGTTTGGAGATGAGGGAGAGATTTGAGGATGCTTGGTCTGGTTAAAGGGTATTGGGCGTGTTCCCAGGAACTAGTAAAGACTGGCTGTTATGCCTTTTGAACAGGGCTGATTGTTGGGAGGCCTTTTTGTCCTGGCCCAGGTAGTGAACCCGCCGCTGCTGTTGGAGCCAGTAGAGCATCTCCACTTTGTCCCATTTCATCTTGTCTAGGTAGCACTGTCCCTTGAAGGTCACTGGTTCACCAAAGATTAATTCAATCTCCTTCAGGAGGGAAACCAAAGAAGCCTCAATTTGATTGAGCTTCCTGTGGAAATAGCTTCGTAACTGATTTTCCCGCAGGAGATGACTCAGGCCCAATTCAGACTTTTGGAAGAAGCGGTTGGGGTCAGAGGCTTGCTGTTCAAACCACTCCAGTCTCGCCAGCAATACCTCCCGCAGCTGAATGGGCTTCAAGGCCCGTTCCCAGGCCCTTACTAATGAGGGCAGCTGCCTCAGACGGGCTTTGGAGCTGTACTTGATGGCCATGTCCAGCCGGACGTTGTGAGGGACCTCAAGAACAGACCACAGTCGTTCTAGACGCTTCTGCAGGCTCGGGATCTGGTTCTTATCACGTTCCAGCCTGTTCTCCAGCACTGTGTTCCAATCCCACTCTCCTGGCACAAAGTCTGGCTCTTCATCTTCTAACAGGGGGGGGGGCCGCTGAATAATTGGGGACTCTTTGATGCATACTGGAACCTCCACAGGTGCCTCCTCTTCAAACATCTGGAAGATGACATGGAGGAAATCTGTCTCCTGGTTGGTGAGGTACTTGAAGTAGTCATCCACAGACAGGGTGCTTTTCCACCAGGTCAGCCAGGAGATCTTCTTTGACCGCTTTTCCCAGCCTTTGCTTGGTTGAGGTGCTGTGGGAGAAGGCATCCTCTCAGCGTCTGACTGCAAAACATTTGTTCTCTGGTAAAGTCCAGTCAGATCAGGGTTGACTATTTGAAATTGTTTTTCATGGCGCAGAAAGGCTGAGGACAGGAAGGCTGACCAGTCTTTATCTGCTGCAGGTTCAACCAGAGGTCCTTGGTCAAAACAGAAATGGTCAGTAGAGACACGGCTCATCAACTCTTCATAGACCTCCTTGGTGCTACTGCCAATGAGGTGCTCTATATCCATTTCGTCTATAACTTTGGAGTCCAGTTCACCAGCCAGGTGGTTGTACAAGACTCTGGCCCCCTCAACATGGAAAGAGTCCAAAAAGTTTCTATCAGAAAGTCGCACAGCTGCTGCCTGGACCACGACTTTATTTTTCAACTTCAAAGTAGTAGTCACTGGCTGTGGATAAAGTGGAGGGGATTTGAGGTGCAGGTGGTCCCACTGTCCAAAGGCTTCTCTTTCCTGGAAGCTCTTTAACATTCTCTGCAGTTCCTCCAGGTGATGCCTGGCAGCTGGGTGGTAGGTCACAACCCTCAGGAGTGGGGGCAAGCCAAAGTCCAATGCTGAGTAGTGAGTCCACTCCAACTTCATGTTCTTTATCATTTGCTTCAGATCCGCAGCCACAATGTCCCCAGTCAGCTTTGGTTTGCTTTCTCCTGGAGGCAAGACCAGAGGGGTTAAGGAATGAGAAGGGAGTGTAGAAAGACCCAATTTATCTGCCAGCTTCCAGTCCTCACGAAGACAAGGCATGGATTGGCTTCTCTGTGGCTGGGAAAGGACAGGTAAAGAATGGGGGAGGGAACCTCTACTGGTGGGAGTCACAGAGTGGCTGGGAATTGACACCATCTGTGAAGAACTGAAGTCGATTTCTTTCTCTTTTCTTGCAGTAGGCAGCCAGCGGAGAGGCTTTCTACTCTTCAACTGAGGGATGGACTTCAATTCCTTCACTGGATCCAATTCAGGCTCAGTAAAAAACTCCTGTGAGCGGCTGAGTTGGACAAGGTAGTTCAGGTTGAGGCTAGAGCATGGCACTTCCGCGAAGCCCGTGCTGTGAGGCCAGGGGATCGGGCACAGTTTGAAAGGCCCAATGGGGCAGGGTGGGCGCCGCTTGTCCATGCTGCTGTGGGTGTGCTCTGCCTTCAGCAGGGTTTGGAAATCCGCGAGCAGGCAACGGTAGACGTCGGGACTGGTAAGGAAGATTGTGCAATCACTGGCAAGGCTGGCAGCCAACCGGGTGAGGGTGGCTGATTCAGTGAAGACCTTCGACATGGTCGACATAGTCACCAGCAGGTGCAGGTAGCGTAAAAAGAGCTGCTCACAGCTGAGCAGCACGTAAGTCTCGAGTCGCTTCCTCAGCTTCTGGTTGTTCTCGTAGCTCAGACTAGGTTCAGCAGGAGGCTCCCGCCAGCTGCACTTTAGTTCGTCCAGGATGACCTTGGTGAGACGGAGTCGGCCTTCAGAAGGTACCCAGGACGCCAGCCCGCTGTTGGCCAGCAACTTGGCCACCTGGCGGCACAGCGGCGCCACCCTCAGCTTTGCCAGAGACACGGTTTGTACTCTCAAGACCTGCGGGCTGCGCTTCTGAGGCTCTGGGGGCGTCACCCTGCGGGGTAAGAGTGACAGCGGGCTCAGCAACTGGTGATAAAACCGCTGTAACTCGGACTCTACCTTCGGGGGCTCCATCTTAGCGCAGGCGGAGCCCTCTGTCCGGGCAGAGGACGCCAAATGGTTACTAAGGTAACCAGGGCCCGAAGGCCCGAGTGCGCCTGCGTAGCCAGTGCCCGCCGCTCCGGATTCGTCGGGCCAGGCCCAAGCGTGCGCATGCGCCAGGAGGCGGGGCAAAGTGTGGTTCCCCGGGGCTCCGCCCCTCGCAGCGTTGCGTGGAGTTGGCCTGTGGACTTGAGTGGTTGCGTTCCGCCAGGTGGTGTGAGCAGGACCAGGATGGCTTCGGACTCCGGGGACAGTGGGACCCTGTGCACGGTGAGAGCGGAGCTTCGAGTGGATCCTCGCCCGGCACGGCCTCAGCCCCTGGGGTGATCGTTATCTTGGGAAGCCGGAAAGGAGCTGGCATTTGGGGCGGCGACTGTGACCACTGAACGCGAGGGTAGCAAGGCCCCTGGCTTGAGTGTTGCTGGGTGAAACCACGGTCCTAGAATGATCAGGAGAGGCGATGAAGAAGGGGCTTTAGCCGGGCTCGGTGGTGCACGCCTGTAATCCCAGCGAGTCGGAGGCAGAGACGGGAGGATCGCAAGTTCAATGCCAGCCCCAGCAACTAAGCTGGATCCTGTCTCGAGATAAAAAAATTTAAAAAGTGGGTTGGGAATGTAACTCAGTGGTTAAGCGTCCCTGGGTTCAATCCCCAGGAAACCCCCCCCCCCAAAAAAAAAAAAAAAGACTCGAAGAAGGGTCACATGAGACACGTCTCCAGGTCGTGGAGTGATTACAGTGTAGGTCAGGTGGTGAAATATGGTCAGGCTAGATAATAGGTCCCCAGTCCTCATCTGCTGGTCTCTGCGTCCCTTGCAGTTGGAGTTCGCGGTACAGATGACCTGCCAGAGCTGTGTGGACGCGGTGCGCAAGTCCCTGCAAGGGGTGGCAGGTAAGAGCTGGATAAACCTTTCTGGTCCCTTGGGAAGAACCAGGCTAGTGTGTTAGTCCAGCCCTACTTCCATTTTACAGATGCAGAAATGGATACCCAGAGGGTGAAAGGAGTATTCTTAGGCACACAGAGACCCAGAGGCAGAGCCTAGCATACAGGTCTGGAGCTTATCCTGTCAGAGCCCTCTAAAGGCTCTAACTGCCGGAGCCTCCGGTTCCCTGGAGTGAGGAGCTAGTCAGAGTACAGCTCCTCCTACTGAGGGAGTTCCCTGAAGCTCAGGCTGTTCTTGCTTAGTCAACAGTCCTGACAAAGCAAACTGCAACCTTGGCCCTGGTGCATTTTTAAAAAGCCAGCCGGTCTGGAGTTGACTTGGCACAATCAGAAAGATTTGAAGGCAGGAGCCACTGGCTTGGCCCTGGGAACTGGCTTCCTTTGATTCTGTTAAAAGTTCTTCCAGCCATTCTGTAGGTATGGGCCAAATACTGGGAGGCTTTTAGAGAGAAAGGTCACCACTGTGCTTTGGTAAAGATGATGCTCAGGTGGCATTTACAGAACAGGAAAAATGGTTCTGAGAGAGAAGGAGATGAGGTGGGTTCTGAAGCCAGGAAAATGGTAGCCCTGCATCCTGCCTAGGTTGGCATTGTGTGTTGTAGTTAGCAGGGTGCACTCCAGAATCAGAGCTGTTTAGGTTCAAATCCCTTATTTGCCACTTACTGGAGACTTCATACATGTGACTTTTTGTGTCTGTATTTCTGCAGTGTTTAAATGGGGATGATAGCAGAAGTTACCCTGAAGGATCATTATAAAGAGTAAATTAGCTAATACCTATAAAGTACTTTAACAAAGTCTTGGCCAGGTAGTAAGAGCCCAGAAAATCTCAGGGGATTATTAGAGGAAGGGCTTACAGATGGTGATCTGCTTGAAGGGAGGTGTGAGGGAACAGTTTTTGTTTGTTTGTTTTTGCAGTGCTGGGATCAAACCCAGGGCCTCATGCATGCTAGGCAAGTGCTTTACCACTGAGCTACATCCTCAACCCCTACAGGGCAGATCTTGAAGATGAGTTTGCTTAGGGTCCTTTTTTGGGATGGCAGGTGAGGGTCTGATGGAAATTGAGCCTTTCTACTCAGAGCAGAGTGTCTGAGCATGGCTTTTCCAGGACACAATGCCTTCCATTTCCTATAAAACATTCCTGCTGGGAAAGCAGACAGCTGGAGTTTTTGTTGGATAGAGGGCTGTGTTCGGCCCTCAGCAGGTTTTTTTAGGTACCAGAAAGAGACATCTGGTGACCCTGTGTTTTCTGGTCTGGGTAACTTCAACCAGCTTGGGTTTCTCATGGCCTGGGCAGGGGAATCACAGTCTCCAGAATACAGAGAGAGAGGAGTGTTGCTTGGCCTTGGGAAGGAGCGCTTTGCTCTTCTCACAGGGGTGAGTCTAAGGAGCTCCTAGCTCAGGGCTGAACTCCTTGAGCTCCTATCACTTGGTCTGGAGTTCCTGTGGTCTCTCTTTTTTCCTTCTAGGCCCTGGGCTAACCAAAGCCTGGCCTAGCCACATTCCGAGGTTCACCAGCCATAGGGAACTTCTGCTTGGCTGGATAATGAGACTTCTGGTGCAGACTTGGGTCAGAAATTAAAAAGCGACATAGCTACAGGAGCTTTAGAAGCAGAGAATCAGCTCTTCTTGGAAGACCCCAGGGTCTGGAAACACGTCTAGGCCAGGCCTTTATCTGCTGTTTGTTCAAAACACACTTGGGCCTGTGTACTAACGCAAGCCCCCCTCACCTTTCCCTGGCCTATACAAGAAGCCAGCTTTGAGCTCCCTATTGCCTCTATTTCCCCTCCAGTACTTTTTCCTTGTTAAAGTCAAGGTGATTTTTTAAAAGTCATAACTAGATAATATGCATTAGTTACTTGAGGCTCTCTTCATGAGTATATAAGAATCCTTCTGCAGACTTATGTATACAGGACAATTGCAGGGACTTCAAGGGCAATGGGGACTCCATAGGCTCTTTTTCTGACACATTGACTTTTGAACTTGTCCCCTGTGATCCACACAGAGCTTCTGCCCTCGCAGAGATAGCAGCCTAGAGAATAAAACAGGATTATAATCAATGCAGAGTGAGTTTCTCAGGGGAAGTATGAGCTGCTGTAGGACAGGTATGTAAGGGCTCAGCCCAGCCTGGAGGTGACCGGCTGTTTCTTGGGGTGAGCCAAGTATCTGGGTTAAGTGCCTGCACTCTGGAGCAAGGCTGCCTGGGATTCCCAGTTCCATAACTTACCACAGTGTGACTTCAAGCAAGTTTCTTCATCTCTCTGTGCCTCAGTGTCCTTACCTGGAAATAGGAATAATAGCACCTAATTCACAGGGTTACTCTTGGTATCAAATGAGTCAATACTGGTAAAATCATCAAGGAGGATCTGGCCCATGGTGCCTGCTCAGTTGACATGGCTCTCAAGGTAGTGGTGATAAGCCCCCCTTTATAATGCATGTAACTGGCTTACTGAGATAAAATTGACATAAATTCACCTATCTAAAGTGTACAATTCAATCAGTATATTCGCAGAGTTGTGCAGCTATCACTATCAATTTTACGTTTTCATGATTTTATACAAGAAATCCTGTATCCTTTAACTTTAATCCTGTATCTACTTCTTGTTTCCCAACCCTGACCCCTAACTTTTCTGTCTACTATTCTCGACATTTCATATAAATAGCATCATAGGCTGGGCATGGTGGCACATGCCTATAATCCCAGGCACCTGGGAAGATGAGGCAGGAGGATCACAAGTTCAAGGCCAGCCTCGGCAACTTAGGGAGGCCCTGTCTCAAATTTAAAAAAAGGACTGGGGGTGTGGCTCAGTGGTTAAACACTCCTGTGTGAAGGAAACACACAGATAGATGACTGGGGTTGTAGCTCAGCAGTAAAGTACCCCGTGTATTCACTTCCCAGTACCAAAAAAAAAAAAAAAAAAGGCTTATATAACATGTGGTCTTTTGAGACTGGCTTTGACATAGCAAAATGTTTGGAGGCTCAGGCATGTTGTATCAGGTATCCAGACTCCATTTCTTCTTATAGCTAATATCCCACATTGCATGGATATTGTTTTTGTTTATCCTTTTGTCAGTTGATGGTCATTTGGGTTGTTTTCACCTTTTTGCTGTCACAAATAATGCTGCTATGGATAGCCCACTTTATATATATATATATATATATATATATATATATATATATATATATATATATATATATAGTTGTTGTTAGTTGTTGTTGTTGTACTTAGTTTTTCATGACAGCAGAATGCATTTCAATTGATCATATACAAATGGAGCGCAGCATTTCAATTCTTTGGTTGTACACAGTGTAGAGATGCATCATTTGTGTACATGTACCTAGAGTAATGATGTCCATCTCATTCCACTATCTTTCCTACCCTCATAACCCCTACCCACCCTCCCCTTTCCCCAATCCAAAGATCCTTCATTCTTCCCATGCCCCCCCACCATCATAGATAAACATCCACTAATCAGAGAAAAACATTCGGCCTTTAGTTTTTGGGGATTGGCTTACTTCGCTTAGCATAATATTCTCCAGCTCCATCCATTTACCTGCAAATGCCACGATTTTATTTTCTTTTAATGCTGAGTAATATTCCACAGTCTCTTTATCCAGCTATTTATCTCTTTACTCAGCTATTGATGAGTATCTAGGTTGGTTCCACAGTTTAGCTATTGTGAATTCAGCTGGATAGCCCACTTTTATAAAAATATTTGAAGAAGAATTTTCTGTTTCAAAAGTTATAAATAATACCTAGTATGTAGAAAGTACTCACAGAAAGCTTCTTCAAGTTCACCCAGCTAGAAGAAAGCCTCCACGCTGACTTCTGACCATGGGAAGGTTGGTGAAATTAAGGTTGGTTGCTGTCTCCTTCCCGCTGTGAGCATGGATGCCATTCCTCTGCTGTCTTCTGCCCTCTGTCTCCTCCCAGGTATCCAGGGTATGGAGGTACAGTTGGAGAACCAGATGGTCTTGGTGCAGACCACTCTGCCCAGCCAGGAGGTGCAGGCGCTCCTAGAAGGCACTGGGCGGCAGGCCGTACTCAAGG